ATATAGGAGGAAGAAGTAGGTCGGTGGCCGCCCGAGGGGGCCACGAGATAGGGGCGTGCCCTGTAGGGGTGGGCGCGCCCTCCACCCTTGTGGCCGCCTCGGCTGCTTCTTGGCTTGCACTCCAAGTCCTCTGGATCACGTTCGTTCCAAAAATCATGTTCCCGAAGGTTTCATTCCGTTTGGACTCTGTTTGATATTCCTTTTCTTCGAAATACTGAAATAGGCAAAAAAACAGCAATACGGGCTGGGCCTCTAGTTAGTAGGTTAGTCCCAAAAATGATATAAATGTGTAAAATAAAGCTCATAATCATCCAAAACGGGTAATATAATAGCATGGAACAATAAAAATTATAGATACATTGGAGACGTATCACCAAACACATGTGACTATGTCACGGGGATGCCGGAACATATCAACAAGAAAGAAGGACAAAACCAGTAACAAGGAGATTGGTATAGTGATCATGTTTATGACTCAAGAGGATATTGATACGTCTCAGGTTTTGTAAAGTATCACAAAGCAAAGGGAATAGCACCTGATAATCAAAGGTTCACTCGAATGTCATTCGTGTCACTACTGCGGGAATGCCTAGCAGTGTCGGGTGGGAAAAGGCTAGTGGTGGCGGGCAAGACTCCCAGGGGCGCCCACCACCGATCTCCCGCCACAACTATTATGGCATTAGTGGCAGGTGGGCGCCCGCCACTATTAGAGCCTATCCAGTGGCGGGCGACCCTAATTGCCCGCCATTGGTATATGTTATTAGTTGTAGTGGGTGGTACATGTCACCCGCCACAACTATCTCTTCAGCGTCCAGCCATTCCAGCCCCTGATATACACATCACAGGATACAAATAACCACAATACAACATACAACTAACGTAAGCGATCATAGACATTACATTTAACATATCAATAATCTAAACTTCATACAAATAGATGTACACATTAGTGTATAACAACTCATGTTGCGTCATTAGTACGTATAGATACATATAAGACCTCATGATAACAACAATACCATAATGACAATGAGCTGGATAAAGATAATCAAATTCTTTACTCGTTCACTTGTCCACTCAGTCTTGCATACTTCATAGTTGATTTTCTCTTCACGGACGTAATTGACATAATGATTCTCAACTTTTGTGCAGACATAGTTGGCATAATGACACCCAGCTTATTTTTTAGTCTTATATCCTTTGTAGCAGCTATTTTTGTAACCGTCCACTTGCTCCTTGCATATCTCCCATGAATCATAAAGGACAACGCTACACCTACGGACAATTTTCATGGGAGTCTAGTTACGGGATGAGCTGTCAACATGTGAAAGGAAATCAAAGGGAGAGGGGGACACAACAGGGAGTCAGGGGGTAGATGATTTATGGGGAAATGAGTTCGTAGGCAAATTCCGGAGCAGCCATCCGTAAGTCTAGCATTTTTGAATCATAAATTCCAGGATTCTTCCCGATGTACACCACATACCAGTTCCACTTCATCTACCTAAATAAAAAAAAACAACAAGTCGATTTCATAGTTATCCAATCACATAGAGAAAAGTCACATCATAATGTTCATAGCACCATAGACGATGCAAATCACCACGTTGCACAGTTCATTAGTAGTTCAAAGCAAAAGTGCAGAGCTCCATCATAGCAACTTAGAAATTAAGTTCACACGCATCGATCATATAGATCACATGAAAGCAGTGCACTAGTTGTTCAACTCCATCCATCATGAGCTACCCTCACTTTCCGTCATCTTCGTGATCTCCTCTTGGGTGGTCCTCGCAGCTTCGACGGCTGCTCGCGCACTCTCCGCGGCTGCTCTTGCGCTCGCAGCGGCTACTCTTGCACTTTGCAGCGGCTGCTCTAGCGCTCTTGGAATATGCCTAAGCGCTCTCGAAATATGACTGAGCGCTCTTGATTGTTGCCTGAGCGCTCTCGAAATATGACCGAGCACGATCTCGGTGTACTGAGCAACCCTCATGATGATGTCTACGGCTGTAGGAGTCCTAACGAGGTGTTGTGGCTTCTTCATCTAAATTGCATTAAACAATTTGACATTTAGATATAACATTTATAAAAAAACAGCATGACCTTTGATAGAAATTGGACATATTGAGTGCCAGAAATTAAGCGAAACGGAACTTAATCCACGCTTCGCAAAAGCATTGGCACTCACTATGAATACACCTGCATCATGAAAAAACTAATGTACCATATGCTTATCCACATGTAATACATTTTGTCTAGCACACACATTCAATTTTAAGACATTCACTTATGAAGATTTGTACATCATACAACAAATTTTAGCTACACCAATAAAATGTTGTACTAGATTTTTATTCATATGTTGTACATTTTAACTACACTAATAAAATGTTGTATGAATATTTCTACCCATATGAAGCCCATACTACAAATTCGACAAAGTGTGCTTATCGGGCCGGAGTCGGACAACGCGCTGGATGAGGCGGAGGTCGATGGCGGAGACGTCAGCGGACGTCGAGTTCGACGGAGACGATGATGACATTGGATGCGAATGAAGGCACGGGTGACGGTCACGGGGAAGTAGTTTGAGGTAGCGTTGCACGACGACACAGACGAACTTCGAGGCGGGGACAGATGACGCAGGCGACGGGGAAGATTGGCTCCTTGACGCCATTCAAGACGATGGACGGCGACCTCGCCGGTGGCAACAAATGACGCCACGACGCTGGCGGCAGTGAGAAAGGAGGGAGAAAGAGTTTGCGTTTGGAATGAGCTCCAACTGCCGCACTTGGGGTAGGTAAGGTCGTGTGTAACAGTGGCAGGCACACGAGTTACCCGCCACCCCAGTATAAGCGTGGGAGGCGGCAACATGACCAAATATAGCTGTCACGAGCGACTTCCAGAACTTGCCACCCCCTATCTGAAAATATTTGAAAACGTTTGGCGCGTGGGTGCCCAAATATTGTTGTGGCGGGTCCAAAAGGCCGCCCGCCACTGATGAGGAAGTGAACTGTGGCGGGCAACCATCGGCGCCCGCCACAATAGCTTGCCAGCCGGGCACAAATTAGAAAACGCAAAACTATGGCGGGTTATCTTGGCCGGCCTCCACAGATACTTGGATAGCGCTGGCGGGCAGGATTTGGCGCTTGCCACTGCTTGTTTGCAAAATTAGAAGTGGTGGGTTCCCTACACCACCCGCCACCCATTAGGGTTCACCTATAAGCCCTTTCCTAGTAATATGTATTCATAGGGATCGATATGGATGTCCACGGTTCTGCTATCGGTCATTGAACGAAGGGGTTTCGTTCATGTCTATGATTTACCGAACCTACAGGGTCACAAGCTTAAGGTAATCATGATCTACTAAGTGTTAGTAGGACGAGAGCGACGATGATTTGTTTATGAAATAGTTTCGTTAATATCCAAAATAGTTTTGAGAGGAACCAAAAGCGTTTCAGGTCACCGGAAGGGTTTCAGAGTTTATAGGGCAATATCGGGTATTACCGCTAAATAATATATAGGTGGAAAATGTTTCTGGAGATGTTAAATTAATAATAAAAGGCTTTCTCCTTTACACGTGCTAAGCGTCGAGGATGGTATTCTACTTGACACTTCTCTCGTGTGCATGCACAGATATTATCGGAGCCTCACGGATGATGAGGAGGAATGCAAGTGCCAAAGAATGCACACGCCATCCGCGAGGGAAGTGTGGAAGCAAAGACGGAAGAAGACGAAGTTGCTGAACCTACATCGACCAAACATCCGGGCCAAGGCAGGACATCCGACGCCTGTGCAACTGAGAAGGAGTTGCACCAACGGATGACCGAAGCGCATTAGCGACCGGACATCCGGCGCTACACGGTCGGCCGGACATTCGGGCCCCTGCCGGAAATCCGGCGAGAGGTCACTCGAAGGCACCCGAAGATTGGCCATTGCTTGGCCGGACATCCGACACCTCACGAGAGGCAGGACATCCAACGCCTGCCTGCGCGCAATGTCGGGCCAGAGGCCCATGTATCTCCCTCTCACTTACCTCTTCATGGACTAGCGTATAAATAGACCCCCTCCCTCCTCATTTCTACGGTTAGCTAGGGTTAGAATTACACTTGAGCTTAGCTCATGTATCTCCCCTTGCGGGACTCCTCTTGAGAGAGAGAGAGAGACACTCCATCGGAGTTCAAGACCTCCATTGAAGAAGATCCTTAGGTATTCAAGACCCATCTCTCCATGAGATTTGAATGAACTACCTTTGTATCTTTATTTCCCTTGTTGTTCTTGGATCATAATGCATCCCATGTATTGCTTGTGATTTGAGGAATACTTGGTGTGAATCTTGTCTAATAGAGTGTTTTCCCTTATGATATCACGTTTCTCTCTCGTGTCCCTCCTCGATTCCACCTTCAAATCATGAACATCGGGCCACCTAGGATTTTGCCGTACATCAAATATTCAATGCGATCAGATTGAATGCTCGTTCAAAAAGATGTTCTGGTGTTTGTGTGCCCTGTTTTGGGGCCACTGTTGAAGATATCTTTTAATACTCTAAAAGTTAATTTTTGTGTCATTAATTTTGCTTCAACTATATTTTCTATTTTTAGAATTGTATTTCAATTATTATTTTAGTACCATGTTATAGGGCAGCTGTTGGAGACGTGGAAACAATGCACCACACATGGCAAGCCGCCCCTGGAAGCGTGGGGTGTGGCATTTCGTCGTCACGGAAAAGACCATTTTATCCCTGGTATGGCATCGAATTTACTTCCACACACCTTGCGCCTACGTCACTCGAGCCATCATCGTCTTCCTCTTCTTTCTTCCCCTCCCCCACTCCTATCCTTCTCCCTTAAGTGCTCCAACTACCCAGTAGTGCCCACCAACCCGCGAACCTTCTAGAACACGCCGTCGGTTGAGCGAGACGGAACCCTAGGCGAGCGTCGGAGCTTGGAGGGGACGGACGATGCGCGCCCGGTGACCCTCTCGGGCGGCGGCGGAGGGTTTGCGGGGGGATGGCAGTGGCGGCTGAGGGTGGGAGCGTGGAGGAGGGCGTGGGGGAGAGCTCTTCTCCTCCGCGTGAGGCGCCGCCCGCGCCCGCAGTGTCGGGCGGGAGCGGCGGAGGCGGGGGAGCCCCCCGCGACATCTGCACCCAGGTGTTCGAGCGGCTCGTCGCCGACGGCAACGAGGAGGTGGCAGGCCCCGACTTCCGCGTCCAGCTCGAGGCCCATTTCGCGCGGCTTCCATTCAGGTGATCGGTTAGCTCTGCCAATGTCTCTGTGCTCGGGACCGCGTTTCAGATTGTTTTGGGCTTCTCCATTAGGTCTCGCGATGGTTAATGGCTAGTATCGTGCCAGCATATAAAAACTGTTGCCGCGGTGACATTCGAGCTACCTTCCAGTGTTCACTGGTGTTTCATTCGCTGGGAGTGGTGTTGTGTTTGACTTGGCTACGGAATTGAACCGTCAGTATTTTCGCTGGGGAATTCGATTTGTTTAGATTCTATCTACAGTTATGTCGAGTAGGGTAATCAGCAGGCTTACTGTGCTCACTCGATTTTGAACTGGTATCTTCTGGGCTTAAGCTAAGCTTCGATTTAAATCAAGTGAATATTACTGGATTCAGACCATTATCTTCCAGAAAGGAGTTCTTGTTCTGGACGCTTGCCCTTTACTCTTTCTTTTTTCCAAGAAACTGAGCTTGCCCTTTACTTCGTTGCTGGCTTGTTATGCTTCTGGTTATCTGGTATTTTATGTTCGTATAGAATGAATGAATTATTGGTTAGATTCTTGTATTATTCTCGTATTCGCCATTTGCAAATCCTCTTCTCTGTGGGAATTGTTCCCTTTTTTATACAACCTCATATCTGGAAATGAAGCTGTTGCAGTCATTATTTTGGATTCAGTATTCCTGGGCCGGTTAGTTATTCCTTCTTTGTCTTTTGTACACTCATAGGGCTAATATTGGTTCATCTTTGTTTTTCTCATTCTGTAGCTATCAACTTGATATCAATGTCGACAAATCAGCAGATGTCTTGGTCCATCAGAAGGTCTTGGCGGAAGCAAAGGATCCTCTGAGGCGCCCTGCTTTCCGTGTCCGTTTTTTGAGGGTAAAGCTCTTATGTTAGTTGGATTTTTGACAAGCAGCTAATTAGTGCTATGTGACAACTGTACCTTCCTTTATTGGCTAGTGGATGGTTGTTGGATTCTAGCTAGTAGTTACATATGATGCTTCTGCAGAAACACTCCCTCGGTGTTATTATTTGGCTAATTTTAGTTAGAAAGAAATGGTGATACTGGCCTTATGTCCGGCGTGCCCCTGACAGTAGAAATTCTGTATCAAATGAATATTGGTACATAAGCGACTTAAGCTGTCATGGCATAATACATGACAGTTGATTATCTTGTGGTGAAAATTGTCATAGGACAGGTGATTTGTGAAGCTTGATACATGCTATATTGTTTATGTGAATCATGTTTGTTTGGCTACTACAGTGCCCTAATTGGGTGTGCATATAATTATTTGATATCTCATGATTTAGATGGAATGGTTGTTGACAGAGAAGGTTCCTTAGCTTCTATATTTCTACTCATTTCTCTCTCTCTTATACATGTTTGTCCCAAGCATTAATGATTGTTTACCTTTAGTACCATCAATATAAATTGAAGTTGTGGAATTTACTCTCAACTTTGGTTAAAGGTTGAAGACATGGATTCAGCATATGGCTCTGATGCATCTGATGAAGGGGCTGATGATGGTGATGATCTCTCTGTAAGGTACTCATGCACTGTTATCTGATGCTTCATGTTTTGAGGAGCCCCAAGCTGAATGTAACATGTGTTTCATTGCTATTTCTCATTTGTCATAACTGATAAAAAGATATCTTCTGTTGTCTTCACTAAGGCTGTGGTTCTTTGCACTGTTTGTAGATCTTAGGATAGCTTTACATTCATTAGGCCCATTAGGCCCATTACGTCAACACTACACCCCACCTGGACATGCAGCTTGTCCTCGAGCTGCAGCCTAACCAACTTATAACCATGACTCGACGCAACACAAACCTAACACCTAAAAACAAGCCTTTTACATCTCGGCTTGTTTTATTATTCTCAACCTAAAATGGACCGAGACGCTTTATTTTGGACCCTTTAACAAAAAGTGGACACCATCCGCACGTCGGACGTGCACGTGTACAGCCACCTGGATCCCATGGACACCACCTGGACCAAAGGAGTGCATGTGTATGGCCACCTGGAAGTGGTTGCAAGAGCGACCAGCAGAGGCGCCCTCGTGGCGGTCGGCGGCGGAAAGCAGTGGTGCTACGCGGTGCGCTCCTGTCGGTGACACCCTGCCTTCTCCCTGCCGGACGGCTGTTGGTCTGCACCGCACAGGAAAGAGTGGAGGGCTTGCGATTGAGAATGACGAGGAGGGGTGCGCCCCCCCAACCGCCGAAATCGCAGACTTTGAGGTTGCTGCCCGCGGGGAAAACAACATGCCAGCCGCCCGTGGGGGAAACCGCATGCCCAAGATCCCCGACGCAGCGGACGAGATCGAGGTCCTTTGCGCAGCGAAGGGCAACTTGGAGGAGTGGCAGCTGTAGATCACGCATCTCCCGCACACGCCGACGCGCTAGGAGGCCGCTTGCAGCAGCCTGCAGCCTCACCGCCGCCGACACGTGGCGGGTAGCGATGACGGCGACGGCAGGGACTTGATCTGCTGGATGTGGACGCCTTGGGATGGTGGCAGCGCTGATGGGAACGAGGTCGTCGCACTCCCGTCGTAGGGCATCCCATACTGGGCGGCGGAGCTGACCGGCGGTGGCCGCTGCAGCTGCAGCGGCTGCTGCGCTGTCACGCCAGGCGCTGCGGAGGCCGCCAGGAGCGGCGGCTGCCACTGCAGCCAGGGCTGGGCGGTGGTGGCGATGGATGGCAGCTGCAGCGGCCTGGCGAGCGCGGCGAAGGCCGCCTGGTGCGGCGGCTGCCACGGCAGCCACGGCGGCGCGGGGGCGGCGATGGGCGGCGCAACCGGGTGCGGCCCTTAGGACCCAGCCAAGAACTGGTGGATCTCTTGGACCGCCTGGGTTAGGTCCCGTAGCACCCCGGACACCTCCCAGGTGAGGACGGCGGGGGCGGGCGCGACAGAGGATCCCGGCGCGGGCAGGAGCGGGGCGACGGTCGTGGTGGTCGCCGGAAGCGACAAGGTGACCGGCAGCGGAAGAGACGGGCTTGGCGGCGGTGAAGACATGATCGAACCAAAGCTAGCTGATACCAAATTGTTATGGCGCTGCTAGAAGGAGGGCGCGAGAGGGCTGGCTGGGGGCCTTTTTGCCCACGGCCGGGCAAGAGGGAAGGGATTTCCTTCTTAATTCTTGCTTGATTAGATTGATACATCTCCTCTCTTTATATAAAGAGGTTTACTTGACTCCCAAGCAAGGCTTACTTGACCCCTAAGCAAGCGACCCTTATCTCTAATTAACCCTAAGACTAATGGGTCCATTAGGCCCATTACGTACTCTAACACTATTAGGACAATTGGTGAAATAGCCTACAGTTGAGTTAGGATGATGTACATCAAGAACCAGAAAATCAGCTGGACGTGAAGAAAAAATACAGGGAACATACAAATACATGTATATAATAAAATGTTACTGTGGTTTCTGTAAGTGGGTGCAAATTGCACTCTTGCATCTGTTAGTTCCAATAAAACACATCATTTTACTTCTTTTGCATGCAAAAGGAGCTTTATAAATATACATTCTTTACAAAAAAGGGTGTAGAAACAAATAAAAAAACTCTGATACGACATTAAGTTTGTGTGCTCATGGTCTTCCTACCACGTAATTGCATAGCCTTCCTTATATGTTTGCATCATAAGGCTTGTAATTTGCAACCCTTGATGTATTTCCTCTGTTTCTGACTAGGCACGTCTGATCTTTTTTTCTCTAAATCCTTCACACCATACAGCCCTGAGATGAACTTCCTCAAACTACCCCTATTAAACATACGCCTTCCCCAAGTTTACCAGCTTGTTTTACACGCTTCAGATATTACAGCTGTGTGTAAGGATCTGATCACATTCTACCAAAGAAAATGTTTGCCTACATATGTCTGTGTTGATCAAAACTGAAAAGTGCCAAGTATTTGGAGAAGGGAGGATGAAAGGAGTACTAATGCATCCACACTATAGCTGTCCGACTTTCTGTTGTACAGTTGAACTATACAGAGTAAATGCTTAGGCGTTTCTGTAGACAAGCAATAACGGTGTCAGAACAGGAATCAGTGGGGGGGCCAACCTCTCTAAATTCTTCCAAATTTGATGTACTTTGATGCAAACACAAAATGGCAATTGTTCCAGAATTAATGGCTGACCCTCAAGTTGGATGTGATGCCATTACTTTACATAAGTGCAAAATAATGAAAATTTGAACTCATGCATTTGCACCTGCATAAACACTACTTGATGCCCATGTGCACAAATGTGCGCCTTCTTCCAGATAAATCTGTTTATTGCTAGAATTTTACGAATATACTTCTCTTGGCTCTATTTAACAGGCAGGACACACCGTACACACACATTCATGAGATAGTTTTCTCCACAATTGACAAGCCAAAGCTCCTTAGTCAGGTCAGCAATCTTTGATGCCTTTCAACTTGAAGTCATAATACGTTTTTAACTTCCCTGCCTTGCAGTATTTTTCACCAATGCTGTACAAAGCATCAATTTTTTCACGCTTGCTGTTTTTAAGTCTAATTTGACATGCCTGCTTACTTGGTATTTGTACTTGTACTCTAGGAATCTTAGTAAAGGACAACATTTCTGCGTTTAACCATGTATTTGACTATACATGCTAATAATTTTTTTGGAAGACTTTATCCTTTTAACCCCAGTATCTATTCTAACTACACTGTTCTGCCAGCTGTCTGCCTTGCTATCAGACATTGGGCTGAACATCAGGGAAGCACATGTTTTCTCTACCGTAGATGGCTATTCTCTTGATGTTTTTGTTGTTGATGGTTGGCCCATTGAGGTAATCTTAGGTTCTTGTCATCATATCATGTCATTTATTGAATGCAAAGTTTTTTAACTGATGTATTAGAGCGTTTCTGCTGGCCTATTTATTTTTACAAAATAAATGATGATTCTTACATTTTGATATTGCTGCAAGAATCAAATGGATGTGGTGATAGTCCACCTTGAGATGAAGTTAACACTGCTACGTGTAAAAACGTAGAGTCTTGACTTGAGCAAGGGTATAGCCAATACAAGTGCACAGTTTAAGCTGATATCATACAGCTTATATTTGAAGAGTTAATTGTACCGACAAGTAATCTAGTATCAGAAGTTATGTAAGCTTCTTTTTGAAGCACTAACCAGAATGAAATACACAGCTTTTCAAGTCACATCCTGAAGCAGTAGCCCTGAATATGCCACATCCCACTTGTATTTCCAACAACAATTTTATTGAGGCCTGCCTTGGCATTCTGATGGAAACAACATGACAATGATGCCACGCTGTTGCATCCCTCCCTCACTCATGGTGCAATGACCAATGATAATACATTATACATGTCTATTAACACTACAGGGCCTATGCCAATAAATTAGCTAAGGTGTTGTGATTCTATTTATATGCGGATTACATTTTTATTCACTCAAATGATGGCAACTTTGCAATGGTATGATCAGGATACTGATGGTTTACATAAGGCACTTGAAGCATCTGTTTTAAGGAATGAGGTAGATTCTCAATCATTCAAAAATAGATAGAAGTTTGCATGCAGATGATTCTGATTATGTTTCTGCTAGTTAGATGCATGAAGCAATATAATCAACCCGTTCCTTCCGCGTGACAGGGTTCATGGTCTGGTTCATCTCACTCCTCAGCTGCGGAAAGAACACTGCCATTCCAGGTAAAAGGTGGGGAATGGGAAATTGACAAGCGGCTTCTGAAGATGGGAGAGATGATTGCTTCTGGTTCTTGTGGAGACTTGTGAGTGAATTGTATACTATCGAGTTACTGAGGCTCTTTATTCAGTACTGCTTTCTTCTTAAGATGTCTTATGCTTATGTGAAGGTTCCATGGGACTTACTTTGGCGAGGATGTTGCTGTTAAAGTTCTAAAAGCCGAGCATTTGAATAATAATGTTTGGAACGAGTTTACACAAGAAGTATATATTCTAAGGTATTGACATTTTACATTTTAGGAGCATATGTAATTTGGTTGGAGAAGTTTAAATATCTTCTTATATGTAGGAATGAGCACATCACTGCTCTCAGTTAAGCATACATGAATTGTGTTGTCCCTTGCAAGTACCAAAACTAAATCACTTCACCCTTTCAGGGAAGTTCATCATACCAATGTTGTGCGATTCATTGGTGCATGCACAAAACCACCAAAATTTTGCATAATTACAGGTGAGCTTTATGCAGCATCCTCTGGATCTGATATTGAGCCTTATTAAGAATTGCTTGTTAGAGAGAAAATTAGATCTGGAAATGTTTTACACAATAGCTTATGATCTTATAATGTTGGCCAAATATAGCTGTAAGATCCAAGAAATTATGCTTGCAAGATGAGGAGGAGGATGTATCTTTTTTTTGTCTTTGCTTAACTGGTGTGTTTGTTACTCAACAGTTATCTTTATTTCATACAGAATACATGTCTGGAGGAAGTCTGTATGATTATGTGCACAAGCAGCGTAATGTCGTTGATCTCCCAACTCTGCTGAAGTTTGCATGTGATATATGCCGAGGGATGTGTTACTTGCATCAGAGGGGCATTATCCACAGAGACTTAAAGACAGCAAACCTTCTAATGGACAAAGATCATGTACGTGGCATATAACTTTTTAATTTGTCATGAATATAGAGAGAAAACAATAGCACAAAACAAAGACAAGCAGTGAATGTGGAGGATACTGTCGGTGCACATTGTGTTTATCTAGGTGCTCCTATCTGTCGTCAGAGCTTTGGGTCATGCATTGCATGTTGTATTTTTACCAAGACTATTCTAACTGATGATTGTTTGTGCTGTCCTTTTCTAGGTTGTTAAAGTAGCAGATTTTGGTGTAGCTCGGTTCCAGGATCAAGGTGGTATCATGACAGCTGAAACTGGAACATACAGATGGATGGCGCCTGAGGTATGATCATCTACTCAAACCAAACTAAGTTACAAACTATGTTCAAAATGAGTCTGTGATTTCGTTTTTTTCAAGTCCTGACTAGAATTGATAGTATAGACTGCTGATATCAAACACATCATGCCTCTGAAATCACTAATTCGGATTAGTTTATTGTGTCAGTGATCTGAGTATTAATTCAATTGTCTACGGCCTATCATATTTACATTGTTATCTTCACACTCACAACTACTAAAGGGTTGAAAACAAGAAACTCTGCTCTATACTAACGTGCTTTTCTGCTCCATGTATAGGTTATAAATCATCAACCCTATGATAACAAAGCAGATGTATTTAGTTTCGCTATTGTGCTTTGGGAACTCCTGACGTCCAAGGTATGCAATTTACACGACTGGTTAGAGTTCTTACCAAACACAAATAGTTGATTAATCATTGCAGTTGTTAAGGTTGTTGATTTTTTTTTCTTTGGTTTCCAGATCCCATATGATACCATGACACCTCTGCAAGCAGCTGTAGGTGTTAGGCAGGTAGGTAGTATTGTAGATTTTGTACGTAATATGCTCATTGTGTGAGATGTGCTCAGTATCCGAACACTTGACTGTCATACTAGGGGCTGCGCCCAGTGCTGCCAGAAAAGACACATCCCAAGCTATTAGACTTGCTGCAGAGATGTTGGGAAACCATCCCATCAAATCGGCCTGCTTTCTCAGATATATTAACTGAACTAGAGGGTCTTCTGGCAGAAGTTCAGGTACGTTCAGAATCACTCTTGCCTGTATTTAGAGAAAGATACCCCTTACCAGATATAAAAACAGGAATTAAAGAGCCGTAACAGTAGATTGTTCTCTACTTCTACAGGTTACTTCAGGTGAAACGAGCAAACAACCGAAGGATATCTCGGCCTCGACAGACTGACCCTCTGCACATACCTGACATACTAGGATCCGGAACACTGATGTTGAGGAATGTAGCATATCATTTTTGGTTTTGGTTTACCTTTTGTTATGTACAATTTGAACAGTCATCTTGGGGCCTAATGTTTTTTTCAGGCTGTGTTTCACTGTTACTACAAAGAGAATCGAATTATCTGTTGAGTATACTGGTCATAGCTTTGGTATGTAAACATGTGCCCTAGAATTTACTGCTTTGGCCATCTCTTGTTGCGAAGGATGTTTATATCTCGTGTATCATGTACACCAAGTTGTCTTTTATGGTTTATACAGCCAAATGGCGGGAATCATGGTTCTATCTTGTCAGATGTGCAGTGCTATTGAGTTCCATGGGATGTACGCCAAAGAGGATTTAAAACATGTCAATCAGTTATCTGACAAAAAAAAGTGCATATCTCAGGTTCCTGAATCTGCAAAAATTATTGAAGATGGAATCATGGTTCTATCTTGTCAGATGTGCACTGCTATCGAGTTCCATGGGATGTACGCCAAAGAGGATTTAAAACATGGCAATCAGTTATCTGACTAAAAAAAGTGCATATCTCAAGGTTCCTGAATCTGCAAAAATTATTGAAGATGGATTGAAGTAAAGCAGAAATGCTTTCATCTGTCCAAGTATAACAGAACAGAATGAACATTACACAAGCAAAATAAAAGTAATTGTTCCCACTGCCAAAATAATTGTGTTTGCTTGTTTTGACAAGTTTTAGCAACAGATAGAACAAAGCTCCTTGTTACAGGGTCAGCACAATCAGAAATCAGGACAGTGGATCGATTTATTGGGGTCTGGGGCAATCAGCGCCATCCCATCCATCATTTGAGCTTCTCAAAGAGCTTTGGTGCTACCTGCAAACACATGTTCAAAGTATTAACACTCCACGAACACTAGTTTGGAACTAGTCGATGTACAGGTTGTACTTACACATTTGTCAACGCATGACCAGTAGTCAAAGAATTGCCCGGTGCAGTGCTTCTGCCCAGTTTCATCGTTCTCGACTCTCTTCACACATCTCTGCAGAGTAAGCATGCAAGCTTGACACGTAAATCACGTGTTCCCTCAGACAGAATGGAACATAAATTGACAAGACTAGGTTGAGCATAAATGGAACATAAATAACAGTCCACCTGATCCATATATGTTATCATGCAACTAAAGCAGAATCTATGTACCAGTCATCCATGCCATATGGTACAGAATGCTGCCACCTCATCCAGTAACTAACTAGTGTGCTAGAGGGCTAGGCACAAAGCTGAGGTGGGCATCCAGTAAATTCCAACAAGATACTAAATGTAACAGTAATAATCGCCAGTTTCTAGTAGAAACGAAACTATTAAGTGTGCACAATGGAAGTGTTTATAGCAAAACAAAACCTATATCAACAAGATACTAAATGTAACAGTAATAATCGCCAGTTTCTAGTAGAAACGAAACTATTAAGTGTGCACAATGGAAGTGTTTATAGCAAAACAAAACCTATATCTAGGTGCTTGCATTAGACGAGGTGATTCGCTCTTACATAGGCACTTGCATTAGGCGAGGTGATTCACTCTTACATGGGTGCTTGATAATGCGGCTATATTCTAAGCACTCGTCTAAAAGAATTTTGCCATCCTGCAGGCCATTAGGGCCATATATTCAAAAGCAATTTGTACTAAATATAGCCATGTGCAACATCTTTCTGAAAGTTAGTCCATGAGTGAATTTTGTTAGAGCCTATAGCCATGTGCAACATCTTTCTGAAAGTTAGTCCATGAGTGAATTTTGTTTGGCTCTAACATCCTAAATAGATCAGCTTACTAGAGGTCCTAGCTTGTTTAGCAAGCAATTTACAAGAAATGACTAGCTACCACTTATTTTTCTGATTGACTGATTCACTGTAATAGTTTGTCTTGTGGTTATGAGAAATGTGGCACTCACCTCATAGTCATACAGTGATTTTACACACTGCGGCTTGCAGCGTTCCTCAAGGTAATTCTTTGGGTCAATAGGTTCATTGTCCGCCCTGTCATGAAACAAAACATGTTTACAAAACCCAAACGCTGGAAGGTAAACTTTGCTGTTATCAAGCATTACAAGAATAATGGAAGCAATGATCTTTCTTGTACAGAGAATTATTTAAGATTGAATTATTGACTGAACACAGATAGAACAGTAACGACCAATCATTGCAAGATTATTGAAATTTGAAGATAAGTAGGCAGCAACTTGTTTAAAAGTTCTCCAGAAGATTGCTTTCCCTTTTCCCTCAAATAAAACAAAGAGATCAAGCATTTCTCCATTCATACATTGGGAGTTAAATCAAGTATTAATAGCTGCAACATGTTCCCACCATGGTCAGACAGGTTGACCCCCCTGAGATTCAGAACACATGCATTATTTGCATCACACCCACTTGGGTTTAATAAATGTTCCATTTGGCGTTCAGTTATTTGCATAAAGTTAATGCTTGCAGAAAAGTGTTGATTATAAATAAGTATATGAACAATCTACTATACAAGCAAATCTTTGCTTGTTGTCTTCGCAAGCAAGTACATAATGCAGATTTCAATTTGCAGTCAATATAATAAATGTACAAGGCAAATATATAGGAGGTATGAAACAAGCATAATGTAAGTACATGTCAATCACACTCAAGGATAGATAATTTAGCGTTCCATCACAACATAAACTAAAAACGAATGAAGAATATAGCTATTAAATAAGTAAAAAACGATGCTCGTGAAGCACAGTTTTCTGCGATCGTGACAGCAGCATCACCGATTGGTTGCGCGGATGTGGTCACAACAGGCAGTCAAAACCTTATTATAGCAGTTAGAGTAGTGGTTTAATATATGTATGTCCACATTTACATCGATCAAAAATAATTAGACATTCAGAGATGTCAAATGCCAATGAAATGTAACCAGGGTGGAGCATTTTATTGTGTGGATTAAAGCAAATTATTTGCATGACAATGCTCAAACAAAATATCCTACTTCCACCGTGATTAATGGTCAGGACAAACCTCACTTCGCCTACGGATTTGAAGCCATTGCATCAGAACCCAAGACCAAATACATGTGTTACTTTAGAAGCATACTCCTAGGATCCCAACTAATGAAATGTATAATGAAAACAACTATAGCAGGGAAAAACATTTAATTTGTGTTATTGCCTAGATAAACGCAGCGATTCATCAAGTTTCCAATCGGGTGATGAGATCATCACTATTTCGTCCAAGGTGGGGAAAAAAATCGGCTGGCTCAAATTGCGGGATTTAAGTCGCACTGTGTTCCAAAAATACAAATGTGCGCTCTTGCCTTCAAATATAACTGATTCGCCATGCTTCTTATGCCCCGTTAGATTACAAATTCGTTTCGGACACAAAAATCAGGTATAAATACGCGAATTGCGTTACATACTTCAACGCTGATAGTGAGAAAGATCTAAAACTGCGCCCAACATATGCACAAGATCAAGAAACGATCGAAGTTCATAGACAGAACGAGCGGTAAAAAGAACTTTCGAGAAAAAGAGAGCGAGAGAGAAAAAACATACATGGCAGCTGCAAGATCTCTAGCGAAATTCTTACGGCGTCCTGCACCGGAGAATGTCAAAGACCGGATCCAAGTGATGGGAGACTAGGGTTCCGTTCGGGTGGATGCGGAGAAGAGGAGGAATGGAGGGGAAGAGAGACGGGAAGGACAGCTCGACCTATGGGCTCTTTTTTAGCGGAACCTATGGACTTTGTTCCGCTTCCGGCCCAGACCTGGCACGCCAACTACACGGGCCGTGACGGACCGGCACACGTGCCGTTCTCCCTGGCCCAGGCACTCCTTGGTCGTGTTTATTTAGGCAATGTTTATTTCAAGGCGATCAAGGTGCGACTAGGGTTTCAAACCTTCTGAAAACTTACTGCAATGCTTCCAGTCAGAGAATCAACCACGCAAAATCGTCCATATTTTTTTAGCAAGGGGTGCCCACAAGCTCCATGAGATAGCATCAAGCAAAACTTGAATGTTCAGAATGAATCTCTAAGTGATCGATACTTGGGTATATGCCTACAGATGTTGGACAGTCCAAGATGGGCACGTTCAAATACCTGCGTGACAGAGTTTGGGAAAAAGTCAGAGGTTGGATGGAGAAACTGTTATCTGCAGCAGGGAAGGAAGTGCTAATAAAATCAGTAGCACAAGCTATACCGGTTTACTCTATGGCATGTTTCAGATTACCCCGAGGTTTGTGTGATAACATCAACACTATCATCCGCCAATTTTGGTTGGGTAGTAAGAGGGGAAAGAGAAAGCCTGCTTGGGTCTCGCGGGATGTTATGACAAAGCCGAAATACCTGGGAGGAATGGGCTTCAGAGACATCGAGATCTTTAACTTATCTTTGCTGGCTCGGCAAGCGTGGAGGTTGCTCGAGGACCCACTATCTCTTAGTGCAAGATTGCTTAAAGCGGCCTACTATCCAAATACGTCTTTCATGGATGCAGAGTTGGGTAGCAATCCTTCACAGATTTGGCGTTCGATATTGGATGGAAGAGATGTTGAAGCAGGGAGTCATCAGGAGAATAGGGAATGGGGCAACCACAAATATATGGAATACAAACTGGCTTCCCAGGATTGGGCCGATGCGGCCGATCACCTCGTTAACAGATAACCCGCCAGCTATGGTGGCAGAACTTATTGACAACACCACTGCTACCTGGCGAGAAGATGTTATTCGGGCAAATTTTCTGCCTTTTGATGCTGATACAATCCTTTCTCTGCCCCTTTGCACGAGGGCAGTTGAGGATTTCTGGGCTTGGATCGGAGAACACAGTGGCAGATTCACGGTCAAGTCAGCCTATCACTTAGTGCAGAACAAAAAGGTGCATAGGGAGAACTGGATGGAAGAGAATGCAGGTGCATCTGACCTTCGAGATAACAACATGGCATGGACTGAATCATGGCATACAAAGGTGCCATCTAAACTGAAGGTT